CAGTACCTCTCTCCGAGAGCTGTTTAACTAGACAAGTCATTTGAAATGTGCTGTATGCGATGAATTGGAATCCCTTTCTATATCTAGGAAAGCATACAGGTGAACCTAAACTGATGAGGTTGCTGGCATTTTTCACTAACCTTCGCACCCTTCAAGGCACTAATGTGTCAAACTCAGCATGCAGCAATCACAGGCTGCTTCTTACTGACAAAGTTCTGGACTTCTGCTGTTGCGTACCTCAATCGAAAAGTCTGCTCAAGCTGAAAACATAACCCCTGCCATCATGTCCTTTCCTCTGCAGGTGTCAGTCATGATAGCTCCCATCAACATTTCACTCCCGGTGTTCTCTGAAGCAGTCTATCAGCCTGCTCCTCTGAGTGAGAAGACACTGCCAGATACATTTGTTGTACAGATCGGTGTGTTCTATAAGGTCCCTGTGATATACAGTATTGAATCTGGAGATGAAAAGGGTAAGCTCTTCACGCAAAATAACAAGGAAGAGGGTGCGTTAAACACCTAGCGCAGCAGAGCACTTAGCTTTTGGATTGTTTCTTCTCTCTCTCCTTTTGCTTTTAGCTCAGTTCTGCAGCCATTAATACTGGATGTGTATCAACCAGACTACAAATTTGATAACAGATCAGGTGTGGGCACATGATTGAACTTCTGTCAGATTAGCTAGAGCCACATGATACAGAGCTGACTGCACCAGCTGTATGCTTTTTTTATGTCTGCTATAGGAAGATCAGGTGGTACCTGATCAGGCATAAAGTTACAGTGACTGGAGAAAGAACACCTAATTCAGCATAAAGACTGATAGTAGAAGAGCTAACTCAGCAACGCATTCTTGACAAATGTGAATGCATGGAATAAGTTTACATGGGATCAAGTGGATCAGTGCTTTGTCACGTGTCTTTTTTTTTTTAGTGAACGTAGAGATGATTTCACTGTATCATCAAATATAGTCACTTTTTATGTCTTTTTTGTAAATTGCTTTGTATGAAGTTGTGGTCTCCTTGAAGTTATTTGCAGAATTCTTCATCTTCAGTAAGAACAAGACTTCATAGGAAATAAAATAATTTCTGACTGAAACAGGGACAAATCATCTCTGACTCTTTCAGAGGAAGGTAAAGACCTTCTGACTGGAGAGTGGTGGAGGAACGGCTCTCCTTTGGTTCCCATCTGACCTTCTGAATTAGTCATTTTTGTTGATTACAGCACTCGATATATCTGATGCTCTTGTAAATCCATGTTGAATTTTATTTTGTTCTTTGAAGAATACTGTAATATACGATATTCATATACGTAATGTATAGTCTGCATTGAAGGGTTCATATCTTCAGTTTTAACTAACAAAATCATAATCAGAATAATCAGAATAATTTCTGTTTTTTTTTTTTTTTTTAAACAGGGTATTTCATTATCGATTCATCCACTGGTATCATAAGAACAAGAAAGAGTTTGAAACTGGAAGATTTTCCAGTTATTTTCAGTGTGAGAGCAACAGATTCGTCTAATGCTAACATATATAATAAAGTTTCTGTGAAGGTGGAAGTTATTGATGAAAATGATTTCCCTCCGGTTTTCCCATCCTCTTTACTAGAAGAAAGATTGGAAGAGGTAAGAAAATGTTATCCAAACTGAATCACAAAAAATAAATCATCAAAAGACTAATAATAAAAAAAATATTTTGGTGAGTATACAAGTTAAATGCTCTGGAACTGGACACGCTTGCTATTCTGTTCTGCCATATGATGTTTTAAGGTTTATTTCAAGCTGAAAATCCCAATACACACAAAGAATTGTCTAGAAGTGTGGAATTTTGTGGAATATTGAAGGAAAAGTGAATCTTTTACTAAAAAGGGGCTCCATGAAGGAAAAACAGCCACTCCATTTTGCATATTTGCACACAGAGAATGTTCATGTGCATTCAAAATCTAGTGGGTCTGCTGGGCACCTCATAGACTCTCACTCAGCCTTTTTAAAGGGAGCTTCATACAGAGAAGTAGCAGGGAAAAGCCTCTGATTTAGCAACATTTCTCCTTTTGCTCACCTACAATCTGCTGTGATTCACCCTGACACAAAGGAATCAGTGGCAGAAAGCAAGCCAGACTTCAGTCGGTGGCTGTTAAGTTACGATAGCCTACAAAAGAAGCCGCAGCATTTAATTATGCAAAAGCATCTAGCTCAACATTTCACTCTTCAATTTTTTTGGACAACACTTTTCACACTTTAATCTGCTAGCTACTTTTTAAAAAAGAAGCATGTTGGTCACATGTATATTTTATATAGCACGTACCTTGCCTTTGGGATTCCCAGCTGATTCACACACGTTCTCTTTAACAGACACAACTGATTTTAAATCTAGTCCATTTCTGACGTAGAGGTAAATATAGGTTTAATTATTATACATATTTTTAATGTTCCCAGTTAGTTTAATGGAGAAGAGTTAGAATCACATTTCCCAACCTTAAAAATTTACTTCCCTGTGAAATATTTACACAGTGGGAATTGCTGGATGCCCTGTTGGATCAGATAACTTCAGATCAGGCCTCAAATGGCCGTGCAAGTGGAACACTGATATTTACTGTCAATCTTGATGCAAACAACATTTTTAAAAACGAACTAATAGATTATTTATTTTGGAAAGAGTAATTATTAGCCAAATAGTGTTCAGAAAGAAACACGATTTTGAAATTGAGAACATCCATTGAGTTTCGTAGGAGTAGAGGCTGTTAAACATGAATAATTCCTCAACAGCAAGTCAGATGCTTGAGGTTAACATTCAGCCTGTTTGAAACCATGGCGAATTTTCTCCCTGAAGATTGCTGCTGTAGGTAGAGACATCAGGGGGTAAATAGTTCTTTTCTGTAAATTAGAGAAAACAAGAGATTCTCTTACTGTACTGAACGAGTTGTATAATTTTGATTTGGAAATGTCTATAGTATTGTAAGTGTACGCAGTATCTGTTACTTCACCCCTTTCACATAATTCGAGAAATTGCAGCTAACCGGTGTCTGACAGCCTCCATCTGTTCTTCATCCACAGAATTTACCTGCTACTCGGATCGTCCAGCTGAAAGCTCTGGATAATGATACAGGTAGAAATGGTTTCCTAACATATGGCATTCTTAGTGGAGACAGACTAAAATTCAGGATAGATGAAGCAACTGGAATTCTTTACTCCACTGTCTCCTTTGATTATGAAGAGGAACCTACAGAGTATCAGGTTTGCTTTAGATTTCTTAAGTCTTTTTCATAACTCTTTATCTTTCCCTTGGATAACAGGTGACACTTCTGTTTTTGTTTAGCTTGGTATTGCTTGACCATTTTATGCATTGTTTTAGAATATAAGCATCTCAAGATGTGATGCATTATTAAAGCAAGGCACTGCCTTTAGACTGTAATGAAATTCAAGCAAGGCTCATTGTTCACCTGTCCTTCAAACTCTCAGACACTTCAGCACATGAATAACTAATTCCACAATGACAGCTCATGTATTCAGTGCTGTCTGTTTGCTTGAATCTGGACTGACTGCGTTCTTGCAGATACAATTCTCGGTTAATGTTCTTTATTGTTGCTGCCACTGCTGAATATTTTTTATGATCTTATTTTGCTTCAAGCAAAAATATTGGTGAATTTGTTGGTTCTATATAGAGACTTTTTTTATTGACCAAATACTCATTAAGCTTTCAATAATCATTTTGAGGTGAATTCAGAATTTGACTTTACGTTTCAAAGAATACTCCAAAGTTTAAAAATCATCAGGATTTTTTAATCCTTATGCAAGTACCTATTTGTATGATTTCTCATTACTAATAATTGTGTAACTTACAGGTTGTGATATATGCTGAAGATAATGGAATCCCTGAGAAGAAAAGAGGTTACTGCACAGTTGTCATAAAGATCGTTGATGTTAATGACTGGCCACCTGTCTTTGATCCAGTAACTGAATTGAGTGTCAATGAAAATGCGCCTGTGGGATTCATAGTAGGAAAAATCACGGCAACGGACAGAGACACAGGAGACAACGCCTTTGTTCTGTATAGCCTTACAGGTAACAAGGAATTTTCTCACTGCACTCAAACAAGTGTCACTTTGTTGTCTATACTGTTATGAGCATAAATAGCGTTATCTGTGTTATCTCTTAACCCCTTTCCACATAAGCCAAGAAGCTTCACTTTCACCTGGTTTAATATTTTACTAATTTATGTTCATAGAGCTTTCAGACTGATTGACTAGGAACTTCTTTGGCAGAAACTACAAATTGTTGCACTTTTAATCATACCAATTCCGTTAAAAATCAACTTTTTAAACAATCTGTAGCTACTCGACTGCTGTCGCTGCAATCAGCAGGAGTAATTTTGATGCAAAAAAAAATGCCTGTAGCTTTCTTGAATAAGGAATAAGGGTATAGGACCTAATTCATCCTTGCCTTATAGACCCTGTTGAGCCTGTGCCAGGTTGTAAATGCTGCTAAATTAAGCCTCTCCTCAGCCTGTGGACTGTGAACATTTCACAGCTAGTTAGGAGCAGAGGTAAATGGTATCGCAAGTGTGTCGGGGACCTGATTCACTATCAAGGGCTGCTGGAGAGTTGTTGTCTTCACCCTTGTGCTGGACCCCTTTACCTCTGCAGCAGAAGCGCCTCAACAGACAGCAGGTCACCTACTCTGCTACCTCAGATCTCTGCCCAGGCTATCGATATAAAGTGCCTTCGATTTCACTTTACATTAATGTGCCAGCTTGTGAACTGTAGTGACCGAGAGCTCTGATTCGTGCTTCCTGTCACATTTAACTGTGGTAGCTGATGGCATTACAGTTGAGAAGAATGCCCCTTTTGCCACTGCCCCTAAATCTGACAGAGACGGAGATTTAGACTCCTCTGGACTAAAGCCTGCAGGAGTTGAAATAGTTGTTTCTGTTGTATGGACCATCCAGAGCGATGTGGATATAGTTTATATATGAAATTATATATATATGAAATATAATTTACATTACCGATATGCGCACAGACTTTGAAGTGGCTTTGGACAAGGGTGGCGAAAACCAGTAAAAGTTACTGCCAGGTCTTTTGGCAGTCAAACTGATTTCTCTTTAGACCTGTGTGTTGCTCAGTCCACCTTCATTAGAGACAGAATAAATTCAGTGACATCTCTTCTTAGAGATCTTGGCAGGAGTCACTGTCTTGTTACAGTGCTTCATGACTGCTGCAACCAGCAAACACGAGACTGAATATACAGAAGGTCAGAGGACTGTAAAAATGCCTGGGAACACCTCTAATCTCCTCTAAGAATTGCACAGGCTTGGAGGGAGGAACTTGCTTCCAGAGATGCACCCCAGAACTCCAATGTGCTGTCCATCACAGTGGGTTTAGCGGGCATGGTGGCATCGGGTATACGGTTGGACTTGATGATCTTTGAGGTCTCTTCCAAATATAATGATTCTATGATCATTTGTGTGCCTCAAGCACTATTACTTTCTGAGTGTGACACATATATCTGCAAAACTTGTTAACTCATTCTGTTGGTTCACATTTCAAACACTTAGCCACTCAAAATATTTTCAGTTTTTCTTCTACATTATCTATATGATATTTAAAAAATTGTTTCAATGCGCTCAAAACACAAGTAAACATATAATTTAAGAGTGTAGTTAATGATGTGCTTCTAAGATGATTCATTGATAACGCGTCTTTAAATGTATCTTAGGTGGTGGAATAAATATATTTGAAATAGATGAAATACACGGCAACATTAAGATAAAGAACTCTCCAGACTATGAAACCATGAATAAATACAGCCTTACGGTGAATGCAGTCAACAATAAATCTGCCCCTTTCCATCAGGTAAAAGACCATCATTGTAATGAGCGGTGACTCTTCTATTCAGAGTGGATTTTGAACTAGTGGGAGTGAGATCTATCAAAGACATTTATTCTGTGAAATAAATTAGTCAATCATGTTTAGAGTCAGGCGTTTGTGACATTTGTCTGTGCTGAGTAGGATTATACTCTGTCATTAGTTGAAATACTTCAAAATCATGCACGGTAGAATTTGACCTTCAATTGTTTGCGGACTAACCTGTGCTGGGGAACTGGAATTCTTGCCTGCTGCTGTTAGTACTGTAAGTGCCATGATAACTTTTCATGGGAGAAAAAGTAATTTTCAGCAAATTGTTCTAGTTCTGCTGTATTTCTTTTATTTGGAAAGGTATTACATGCTTATTTAACAGAACTGGAACGTGTGTGGTTCCCTTAACTGCATCTAGCAGCAGCAATAGGACATGTTAGCCTCCTAAACGCATCCTGTTCTTACTCATTCAGACACCTTTCAAGAAGTAGAATCCTACTGCAACATTGAATTCCTGCCTGTTTTGTATTAAAATCCTGTAGTGATCTCCGATGTTGAGTTCACAAAATTAAACCTAACACGGTATTTTACTACTGCATTTTCAAAGTATAAATTATACTTTTTGTTGCATACGCAAATAACAAAAAATATTGCTAAATAAGACTTTCTAAATATTCTAAAATGCATTAAACCATTTTGTTTTCTAGGCAACTACTCATGTCACTGTTCTAGTGATTGATGTGAATGATAATGCTCCAGTATTTGCTCAGAATTCCTATTCCGCTTCTATAAACATGATTAATCCTGTAGGTGCTCATGTCATAACTGTGAGCGCTACTGACAAGGATCAGGTAACTACTCCTGTTTGATTTTGACACTGTTTTAAGCTGCAGCCCAAATATATTTTTGTCCATTCTCTAGGCATGAAATACCAAATGTAGCAGAAAGTGAATTCTGATTGACTAACAGCACTGGGTATTGGAAATTAGGACTTTTGATGTTTCTGCCTCGACATTGATGTACTCTCTGTCTTTGGGCATGTTTCTTCAGCTATATTTGCCTTAATTTTTTCCCCTTATACGGAGTTGTACCAGTCTTTCAGAAGTATACAAGGACTGAAGCTATATTTGCCTTAATTTTTTCCCCTTATTATATGGAGTTGTACCAGTCTTTCGGAAGTATACAAAGACTGAAGCAACTTAGTTTCTGTAAAGTTCTTTGAAGTTCTGAAGTAGAAGAATCTGTAAAAGCTAAACATCATCATAGCTGGCTTGAACATGGAAATGTCTGCTTACTACCTCTCAAGTGTGGTACCCCAGCTAATTCTCTCTGTCCCCAATTTTTGAAGTAATTTTGTTTGATATATCTGTACTGCATCTATCATGTAGTACCCAGGCGCTGGCAGAGGTATCCAGTAGTCAACCAGATCACCATGACAACATCGCTACTAATTATATAATTTAAAAGATGAAACATGTAGAAGTGACAACAAAATAGGTGTAGCAGGTGCCTTCCTATTTCTTCAGGCATAATTTTGGTTAAAATAGCTGTAGCTGTGGTACATTGCTGCAACTAATCTAATGGACACTTTTTTTATCATCCTTCTCAATGATTTTATATAAAAAGTGAAATTGCTTATTGAAGTTGCTGGACTCTGTGAGATCTGCATTGAGACCCTAATGAAACTCATCCTTCGGATAATATGTCTTGTCCTCTGCCATGCGGAGTGGCACTCATCCTCCTTGCGCCACCCTTTCAGGATGCTGGGGCAGATCCCAGCACTGAAATTATTAGACTTTGTCTCTATTCCTCCCTGTTCCTGAAATAATTATAAATCCACAGATTACTTGGTGACAACAGATGTTGATGCTATAGAGTTAGATCCTGCTGCTGCAGGGCCACGGAGGAACAGAATACAATGCTTTTCCGAAATACAGAGCGAAGTGCAATAGAGCAAACCCTAAGGGTTTGTCAAAATGGCTTGTCTCAGGAAAGTGAAGTGATGTGCATAGACTAAAATGTGTCCAGCTCTCCTGCGGCAGGCAGGAATAGGGCTTACCCTCATAGCAGTGGGGAGGCTGTGCTTCTCCTCAGGGTGTGAAAAGCATCCAAGGGACTTTGGCTTATTCTTGTTGACATCACACCTTTAGATGATTCTCTCTTGCTACTCTGACTGTCCCCCTGTACAGGTGTCCCTAACTTCATTAGAGATTCCCCCCGCCCCCCATTTTTGCTGTCTGACTGGCCAACTGCTTTTGAATTTTCTTCTGCTTTGTGTTTTTACCGGCACCCATCCTACCATAGCTAACCCCAAGTTTTTGTTCTCAAAATAAATTCACCATTCTTGAAATAAATTCACTAGAGACATCCAGGCATTGCCAAATCTCTTCTTTCAGTGTTTGTCCTACCCTTCAAAACGTACTCCCAGTGCCTGTAGTTTTCTTCAGTATTGCTATGGGAATTATTTTGGATCTTGGAACATAAAAATTAATTTGGGGGTGGGTGGGGGGAGCTCTGCCCTTCGGCCCTTTCGCCTGCTGCTGCTCTTGTGTTCCAGCTTAAGCACAAAGTAGCTCTGAGCCTGGTTCTCTCAGGTTCAAAATGCCTCTGGCACTCTGTCCGTTTAAGCATGGAAATATTGAGATTCCAGTGAGTCTGTACTATGGGACTTGGGGCACTGAAATAATGTGGTCCTGCAAGTCACAGTTACATGAAGTTGTGTTCCTTTCATGGCAGGGGCAAAATGGCCTTATTGAGTACTACATCCTCCCTGATCAAAACTTCAGCCCGTTCTTCCTGATAGAAGATGTGAATGAGGGGAAAATAATTACAACGGGAAACCTGTCTAGATTTGGAGAGATCCATTTAACAGTGATGGCTAAGGACAAAGGCTCTCCACCTTTAAATGACACTGCTATGATTACTCTTAATGTGTTTGACAACCGTCCATTTGTTCCTCGGTTTAATGAGAGCAAAATCAGGTGAGGCTTTCGTATTAAGTTATTTAACTGGTACATATTCTCCAGGCAGTGGAAAACATAGTAAAGTTGAAGCTAATTTTCATATTCTTCCATGCAGAAGAAAGGACTTCAGCCTTTTTTAAACAAAACATCCAGGAAATTCTGCTATGCCAGTAGTTCTGTGAATGTGATTTGAGGCATCGCCTTGTCATTTCTTTAGCGTGCAGCTTGTATAAGCCAGGTTCTTTGTCCCTTTCCTCTTGCACGCTAATAAAACATTCTTCCTTAGCCTTTACTCAAGGATAAACAAATGTCTGGATAGGAAAGTAAGACTTGCACTGCACTGTGAAACTCAGTGAGCTCTAGCAAACAACTAGAGGAAAGGGGGCAGGATTTTCCACAGAGAACTTGCTCTTAAAGAGTTAAATTTCAAAGCCTGCCAGTGCAACAACTGCTGGGAAATTTAACGTTATGATTTGTCATTTATTTTCTATATTAGCATTTCCGTTTTGGAAAACATAGGAGCGGATTATTTCATTCACACTTTTACTGTGGTTGAAACTTTAGGAAAACAGATTGATTATACAATTGTATCTGGCAATGAAAAAGGTGAGTGCTATTTCCCTTATGAGTTAAAATAGCTAAGAAAACAGAATAACCTGTCTTTTGTGTGGCAGATGTTGTATGTAAATGAGGAGATGGAGAGCAAGGATAAAAATTTGTGTCCTTTTTTTTAAAAAAAGAAAGTATACAAAGCATTCCTTTCAGAGCTCTTCAGCATGGACTTTGTTAATCTTCTTTGGTTAAAGAGGGGGTGGTAACTTGCTGGAAAATAGGTTCCTGTAGTCTTTAAGTTAGGATAATTTGCAGACTGAGGGAGACAAAATAGAAGTTGTTGTTAGCAATCAGCTTCCTCCCTGCCAATCGCTCTTAGTCCATCATTTCCTTGCACTTGCACCTATGTCAGAGCATCTGCCCTCCTTCAGCTTTTGCAGCTGTGCTGTGACTCCGTTTGGCACACAAAAAAGGAAATAATTAGAAAGTGAGAGAAAACTTGGAAATCAGTGAAAAAGGAGTTGTGCAACAAGAAGCTGCAATTCTGTTTTCCAAGTATGTTGCTCCTTTACATGTTTAAGGCCTGTTTGGTCTGGGATAGGACCCCAGCTGTGATGCCTTTGCTGCTCAGCCAGGGGAAGTGTTGCGGTTCACATTCTTAAGAGCAGAGGACCTATGGAAACATCCTAAGAGCAACTAAGACACAAGAGGGAGGAGGGATACAACTGAAATGGTAGCTATAACAATGAAGGTGCATGTTTTTTCTTTCAGGTCATTTTAGTTTGCATCCAAAAAGTGGTCAGCTGAAAACAGCAACTGATTTGAACTATGAGGAAGTTTCTCAGTATGTGATTTTAATTGAAGCAAATGTCAATCTCTCATCTGCCGTAACCTTCCAGCGTTCAGGTAACTTGTTGCTTTGAAGGACATTCCAACTGAAATCAGGGGCAATGAACACCTCTTCTGTATTTTCAGCCCAATATAGGAATCATGATTCTCTTTAACTGAAAAAAAAGTCTGATGTGAAAGATGAAAAGCTGAAGGTTAAGGTTGTGCAAAGAAAAGCCAGCAGCCTTCCTCCAAGCGTGCAAACCCTCACAGGACTCTGCCGTGGTCTCAGAGAAGAATATAATAGCTGAGTGTTGGACTCCTCAGCAGGAGCTGGAGGACCTTGCCTGTCCCTTGCCTGGTAGAGCACAGCCAGCTGAAAAGGGCTGGCAGAGGAGCGGTGCTGTCACCTTTTCCCTTGAACTGCCTGCTCTCACTGGAGCCCCAGGAGGAGCGAGACAGAGCTCCCCTGGGCACATCCCTGCTGCCTTCCCTTCTCCCTCTTCCTCGCGTGCGGCAGAGGTACTGCTGGAAAGCCACAGCCTGACTTGGCCTTCGAAAGTTGTGCTTTGCCGGTGTTTGTTGTTCAGTCAACTTGTGTTTGTTTCATAGGCCTGTTTGCTCAAAACGTGGCAATGCTGACAATCTCAGTGCAGGATGTAAATGAAGAGCCAGCGTTTTTGACTAACGCCTTCTCTGCTCGGATACCAAACTCTGTGCCGTACAAGTACCCCGTTATTACAGTTCAGGTAGAGTATCTTTCTGTGCTCTTCATGAGGACAGAAATCTTTTGAAAGATTTGGATTTCTTTCACAGTTAAACTGCGTTAAAGGAGCTGTTAAATCTGCTCTTGAAAGCTTGAGAGAGCTTCTGCCCCTCATCGAGGTTTAACATAATGCTGGTGAAGGATGGGGCGTTGAGGGAGCTGGTCCATACCTGTCCTACCAGTGGGTCTCTCAGAAGAGCTATACAGTCTGTTCTGACTCTTGCTGCTGCTATGGATTACGTACTGCACAGACTACCGTTCTCTCTTTGGCACCGTTAACCAGTTTGCTATCTATCAGACCCAAAAGGGAAATTAATTACAAAATGGAGCAGTTCTAATCTTTTTCAAAGTCTGGTGTTATCCCTCAGTTCTAGCCTGTTCCTTCTATGCTTGCAGCCGTAGAATCCTCCAGACTTTAAGGTAAATGTTTTTCCCGCTTTATACTCTTAGTCTGATTCTGATAGTTTGTTCCCCACTTTGTTTAGTGCAAAGAGAAAAACATGACAGCACTATCATAGAATACTCTAGTCTTACAAATAAAAACTGTAGAATTTAATGATTGAAGGGCAATGTGCAGCCCAAAAGCCACAAGCTGAGTTTCACAAATCACCTTTTTTAAACCCAGGCCACAGATCCAGATTCAGGAGACAACGGACTTCTGCTGTACAGCATAGTGAATAAACGAACAAATGAATTTGACATTGATGCAAATACAGGGCAGATTTTTACAGTTTCTGTAGCAGGAAAGGCTGGAACATTTTACCTGGAAGTCCAAGCTGCAGACCAAGGCACAAGAAGACTCACAGCCCGGACAACAGTCAATGTAAGGAAGATTGCTATTTACAGTCCTGATTTGCTTCCATGTCAAAACTCTGTATACAAGAAGGACTAGGTTTGGTAATGACAAATTAGGTAACGCCACACAGTGAGACTGCCAGATACACCAGTGTTTACTACATACTTTCAGGCCAGAATTGAGAAGTTGCCATTTCTATTGACATATAAAAATGTTGGTGTGAAGACTGACTTTTAGAGGACAATTATTTTGTATCAGAGGAGTTTTTTTTGTTTGCTGGTTTGTGGTTTGTTTTTTGTTGTGTTGGGCTTTTGTGGGTTTTTTGGTTTTGTGCTTTGGTTTTTGTTTTTGGTTTTTTTTGGAAACTTGATCTAAGAGAAGTACAAATGCTTTACAAAACCTTACATGTGATTTCTTTATTTGTTAGGTAACTGTTGATTCCAGTTCCAGTAACAACATTGTTGTGGTACTACTTAATCAGAAGATCAATGTTGTTGAAAGAAACCTTGCTGAAGTAAAAAGGTATTTTTGAAACTCTGAAGCTTATTCTAATATAATAGCTAATGATAGAGTCCGTTTGAGATAGGGGTCTGACAGCCTACAGGGGAGGCGATACAGCCAGTGCCCTTGAAAAGCTAGGCCTTCAACTTGATGTAGTTCAGAATAATTTGAAGGAATTCACAGGAATTCACCAGTTTTTACCTGGTAAGGCTTTGGCCTGAGCTGACAAATGTCAAAGAGGTCATTGGACTAGATGATTTCAGGACGTCTCTTCCCATCTCAATGTTTCTATGATTTTTTAACAGCCTAGGATAAAGTTTTTTATGGATAGTAGGCCCAAGATAGAAATGTGGAGACGGATGGGATAGAAGCCACAAACCAAACCCACCTTTGCTACAGATGAAAAATCCCCTGTGTGGCACAGCAGCAGAGCTTCTCAAGGAGGTCTCAGCCCTACGGTGCTAGGGGATTAGCTAATGATATGTCGATGGCCACACTACAATTAAAAACATATTTTGGCCTTTTAGGCATGTTAAAGAAGACGCGACATCTTTTGTTTGATTATACATAAACATATATTTACATTGGAAATATTAAGTCCTGTGCTTTTGAGGGGAAATAACTTTGAAGGATGGACAAATGAGTTTGTGATGTTGACATAGATTCATCATGTTGACATGATGAATGATGGATTAACTGGGCCGATGGTTTGATCTCTGTGAAAGACGAGGAGAAAACAATGAGGATTATGAGGCTGAATTTTCCTCCTCCCCACCTTTACTGTTTATAATACTCTATAGGTATCACTGCCCGTATTTATAAAAAATAATGTCAAGTGTGAAATGAGCCATATGTTGCTTTGAAAAGCTTGACTAAATATATGGTAATACTATGCAATATTGGCTATGAAATCTAGGTATAAAGGTTTTTTTAACCCTTCTTCTCTAATTATAATTGTTCAGTTGTGCTAATGGCACCTATCTAAGAATTTTCAGGCTATGTACAAATGTTATATAGCATTTACTAATGAAAAGTATCTTTGCTTGTCAGAGACAAGTACTGGTTATTTTTTTCTTCCTCTGCTACTCACTCACTCAATGATACTGTGCAAATAGCTTAATTCCCTTGCCGATGATAATCCTGCATTTTCACATGCTTAGATTAAAATACTAAATATCTGCAAAGTGTTGTATTAAATACTACTTTTCTGTCATTTAATTTCCAGAGTAAAAGGGTCTGTCATTGCTCAGGTAATGCAAAATGTTTTCTTAATGTGATGGCAGGGTCCTGGAAGATAAACTTGCATGGAATGTATACGTCATTGATGTTTATTTCAATGAGTTTGAAAGAAAAACAAGAAGCAGCACTGATGTAACCTATGTAAAAATTACTGCTTTTGATGAGGCAAACCAGGAAGTACCTGCAGAAGATGTAAAAAGGTCTGTATGGCACAGTCTGTCTTCTGAGTGTCAGAGCTATGCAGCTAGGTTTTGTTTCCCTTAAAATTATTAATGCCTTGGACTGGGCAGGTTTAGATCAAATATATCTGAGATTTATCTCAAGGCTCAAACAGAATTTTTAGGATTCAGAAAGCTTTCGTTATTTATTGAAAAGTAATTTTCAGAGTTTGTCAAAAACATGAATGAGGCTGTTAATTGTGCAAAATACATTCAAAAGTCAGTTTTAAAGAAAACTGAAGCAGAAAGAATATAATTAAAATAGATATTGTTTCACTTCAGAATTCGGAACGTTGATTAAAAACCTGGATTTTGGGTGTATTTTACATTTGTTTCATAACATGACAGTGGTATGAATGCATATTCATATAAACATTCTGTGAAGGGCAGCTGCTATTCAAATACACAATTTCTAGACTCAACACCTCTCTTAAACTAGTAATTGTTTGTGGTTGGTATTACTAATGGAGTAGTCTGTGGTCATAGGAAGCGCTCTGCATGGATGAACCTCCTCCTCTGAGGAAGGCGCTACTGGTACCTGTAAGACTGTATGTGGCTGCCTTGGTGCGGATTTAGAGGAGGCTGACCTCTCAAGTTCAGTTTTCCAAGCTTTGCAGCATTTTAGTTCATAAGCACCAGAGCGAGTTGCTCGAAAACAAGAGTTTTTCCCAAATGAAAGACATGACAAGTCTGAATCTTCAGAAAAGGTCTTGGTGGACCAGGGAGTGGTATTCTGTTATTTTCTTCACTACTCTTCAAGCCAAAATGAAGGTCTGATAAATCATCAGCATTTTACTCTTCTATCTTCAGAAAACTTACGGAGGAGAAGAGTAACATTGAGATAGAACTGGAGAAAATATTTTCAACGTCTGTTACTGCTACCGTAGAAGAAGTTCCCGCTGACTCGGCAACTCCTGAACTCATTGCAACGATCGTGCTCGGTGTCCTGCTAGCCTGCACCCTCGTAGCCTTCCTGGCATATGTACTTTTTACTATGAAAAGGAAAAGGTACAAATAGTTTTACTTTAATTTAGACTTACAACTTCATAAGTTTACTTTAAATGTCAACTTGAAAAATACTTACCTGATAAATTACTGATATTTGCATGGAGTATTGCCCAACATTTCTATAAATAAAAACGCCTGGTGTAGTACTGCAGATATTAGACACACTAAGCATAACTGAAAGTTGGTTTCTTGTGTTTGTCACACAGCAACAGCAGAAACAAATACTTTTAAAACCAGAGAAATGTGGATAGCAGAAACTTTTACCTGTGAAGGGGGGCACGAGTAGCTGTAATATACCTACATAAGTCCCTTCTAACCCCATGAATGCTGAAATCAAGGGAGGTTGTGCTGCTAACTTCAGTGGCAGCAGGACCACGTAGTAGGAGAAAACAAATACATTTCCACGAGGGCAGTGGGTATTTACCCTGCTACCATTATGCAAAAATAGGAAATACTCCGAACTAATCCCCAGAATAATACTGAAAATAAATGTTGTGTATTAAATTTATGACACAAATACTTCATGTTCTACTGTAAAACCAATCTTCAAAAAGAATTAAGAATTTTATTTTATTTTATTATCATTTTCAGAAAGTATGAGTATCTGATTAAGCAGCGAGTTGAAGTTACGGAGGGTATTGATAATCTGTATGCAACTGACAAAAATGGAAGTCTGAAAAGCTTAGAGAAACCAAAGCACACGAATAATGTGTAAGTAGAATGCTGATAGCACAAATTTGTAAAAAATAGCTTATGAAAAGATGTGGTTCTAGTTTATTCTGGTAACACAGGATTTTCCTTGTATCTTTCACTAGTGTATAGGTTGATTTTTAAGAATGCTTACAAGTTTAAAAACACCTGAAGGAAGCTAATACTTTTAAATCTTGTATCAATAATTACAAGGGCAAATTCCTACTTACTCTTTAGCAAATTGTTAAGCTTTATACAGGAAAAAAAAACCCTTCAGGATACAGGAGGCTACTTATCGTTCCCCTGGGTGAAATCCCAGTTTTTTGAGATCAGTGTACATGCTGCGTTCAGTTTTAGAGATGCTAAGATTTTTGTCACTTAACTAATTGCAAGCTCAAGGTGTTATGAATTCTTTTAATTCTCATTCAGGAAAACTGAAATAATAGCGTTTAGCAGCATGGAAGACACCAAAGGACGTGATGCTGACAAACGTGTCATTCAGGGCAATGAAAAACGCAATTACTTTGACACGCTACTGTTAGATCGCAACAGTGAACATGAAGAAAATGTAGCATCTGAAAAAGCTTTTAGAAATGTAGATGCCCAGCCCACTGCAGAATTCACAACAAAACAGGTAATTAGCTTTTCAATTGCAAAGAATGGAGTGAAAGATATTTTATCATTAGTCATCAAATAACTGAAAGAAATAGCCAAAAAAGTAAACCTGCGGTGGAACTGAAAAAAAAAAATAATCTTACGTGAAGTAATGAAAAATCTTTGAGGAGAGGCTGTTTGTCGCTGCTTAGGAGGAGGGGGAGGACTTTGTGATCCAGAAATGATGAGACTCTTCCATCTTTTACAGAATGTGTAAAGGGTTCTCATGTACTGCTCCTAAAAATTACAGCCTTAAAAACAATGCTTTCTTTGCAAGCTTCAGAGACAGAATACGTATGTATAAAAGTTATACAATGTCTGCTGCTTAGAATTTTTCCACGCGCTCAATTAATTTGTAGCTTTCTGCCTCATGTGTGTTATGTTTTCTTGCAGGATTGGTTTCGGACAAATACAAATGAAAAGTCAGCTCTTTCATTAACACCTGATCCTACAACGCACGCCCCTGAAAAAGAAATGAAAGGAGTAAAATTTTCAGAAGTGGCAATTGTTTTGGATGCAGAGCCTGAAGATGATGAGCCTGAAGATGATGAGCCTGACGATAACGATGTATTTTTTCATCAATGAGAATGCTCAATGGAGAAAACTTTTAGCAAAACCACAATGACACTCATTGGAACAATGCAGAATTAAGTGAGCAGTAAGAATACGGGAATGCTCTCCAGATTTTAATTCCTGATACTCCTGTTGTGTTGTAAGAGACCGACAAGAGAAAAAAAAAAAAGCAATAGGCTAGAACGGCCGCAAAGAGGTTGTAATGCGAGGTTACTTTCCTAGCAGCAGTGCTGTCTCGCGGTGTATTTAATTTCTTACGGTACGTATCGGATGCCAAGGCAATAAAACCGATTCCAGAGGGCACGCCTTGCCACTGCTTTAGACGGCGGACTTCTGGGACATCAGCTCGCCGTGCTTTTGCACACAACTCACCGTCGTGGCTAGTTTGTGAAAACGAGTGGCTTAGTATTTTCTAGTCCCCCGATGCCTTTCCAGGATACCCAGGATGCCGCCGCTCGGCC